GGAACGAAACGGACGTGCGGAATGGAACGTGACGTACAAAACGGGACGTGACGTGCGAAACGGGAACGTGACGTGCAAGAACGGGACGTGACGTGCAGAACGGTACGTGCTGTACGGAACGGGACGTGACGTATGAAACGGGACGTGACGTACAAAACGAAAAACGTGCCGTACAAAACGGGACGTGACATAGGGAACAAAAAACGTAATGCGGAACGAAAAACGCAATGCGGAACGAAAAACGCGCGGTGCGGAACGAAAAACGCGCGGTGCGGAACGACAAAAACGCAATGCGGAACGAAAAAAACGTGGTGGCTCGGCGAGCCACACGGACATGTGACGTCAGCAATTTCGCTTGTGTGGGTATCCCCTCCACTACGGTACCCATGGTACCAGCGAGCTCGAATTGGCATCACTGGTCGTGTCGAAGGATTCAAGTGTGATTTAGGAGTAGGGGAAAGGAATGTGCGTGCCGATAACGCGTGCGAGAGAGAAAGCGTGGAAGTGAGGAAGAGAGGACATAGAGCACGTAGGCTACAGAGCGTATATAAACAACCCCACCAAACCTTCCCTTGCCGTGAGTGAAAGAAATTCCTAATATGATATATATTTTCCACATTATAAAATATTCTTTGGCGTTCAGAGTTTTAATTTTGATAAATAATTTACTATTTTATTTTTTGCTTTCTATCGTATTTTTAAAATTTTTATCTGTAGATTTGTCAATCGTAATCCAATATAAAAATTAATTTTACTTGATTAAAATTCCACGTTTTAAAGCTCTTTGAGCGTTTTTCTATTTTGTATTGTAACACAAATGAATAAATATATGAATAAAAATTAAATTAATAAATGCCCACGCAATAGAAATGTCACGAAACACGTCGCTTTGCGTGAAAACGGCTGCCAACGCAATGAATTTTGATTAAATAAATCTTTCGAAATACGCAATTTAATCGATGTACAATGCAAAATTTGTTACACAATTCTTATTTATTGAGATATATAATTTGTATTTTCCATTTTCTATTACCTATTTGAAGTAAATCAATTGCGCAAAATTCCTTCTTTTATGATAGATAGATAGATACTTGATGCTTGAATATTTATTTATTTGTGAATATTGATTTATATTTATTTAAAATTGAATTGAGGTAATAAAGGATAAAAATTATAAAAATTAATTTTGATAGTTATAAATTTGTATATAAATGACTCGTTAAACCGTGTATTTTGCGAAATTTATTTCAT